TCAAAACTGTATCATGGAAATATATATTTAAATCACACTGATATTCCGCGAGCAAAAGATACGGATATTAATTGGAGAAATCGAAGTCATTATTCTATCGCCACTAGAAACTTCACCGTTTTGAAAAATGAAAAATTGTCGACAAAAGGATATAACACCAAGTCAAATGTCATTTCGTTCACGCTGGAAGCAAACACGTGAGGTTTTCTCGGCCAACCAAGAGCAGAATTCAGAGGAGAATTCATGACAAAATGAAGCGAAACTGTGACCGATGAGTCGACAAACTCGGAACTTTGAAAGTTCCTTCTCGAGGGAATAAGTGGAAGGAAGGTGCAAACGTGAATTTGGTCGATCGAACCCTAATTCACCGACGTCATTGGCGTTTCTCTCTCGTTTTTCCTTCGTAGCTTCGAAATATCGCCGCGCGAGACGAACGTCGGAGGAATGCGCTGAATGTACGATCGAAAAATCGTGTGCGTGGAACGCGGTCGCCACGGTGAAAGCGGAAGTCCACGGCCTCTGATAAATCGTAATGCGTTGAATTTCCGGAGGAATGACGCATACCGTGTCTCGAGTGTAACCGTGCCGAGTACGAAACTCTTACAAAACCCGACGAATTCCAAACAGGTGGGAAGTTGAATGGAGTAACACGGTTGAAAAGCACGGAATCCGCACGACTCGTCGGCCTCGCGAACCGGTATTCAATCAGGAAACGAGGCCCCCGCCAGCCTAAATTCGACGGCGTCGTTTCGAGTGATCATTATTATGGCACGTGCCATGAGGAATAAAAAGTAGGAAGAGAACAGCGAGGAAAAAAACGTGCAGGGAAATTCGTCGAATTTCATTCGAAGGGAGGGAAAAAATTATATTAACTTTACGTACGACAGAGTTGCAGAGATTGCAGATAAAAGTACGGAATGAAAATCGTCTCGTACGAGATAGAGACATAGATAATTTATAGGGAATTATGGTGGAAGTTCCGGAGTACTCGTTAAGTCGAGGGAAAAAGGAAAATACTAATAATAATATAAAAGTCGCGAGACTATTACTGCAAAAGCACGTAAAGTATTCGTTAGTGAGATTTTAGAAGATTTTTGATAAAACCTCGAGAGATCGAGAGGAAGAGGAATCGTCGTAATGAACACACGTAGCGTCTTATTAAATATAAATGAAAATGAAACTCGCGTATTAATTTACAGAGAATTATCAAAGGAAAGCGTCTCGTGCGTGGGAAGAAATTACAGGGCAAGTTCGTTTGTCTTTATCAAGGAGATAAAATTATCGAAGGTAAACCGATCGCGAAAGCGAAATAACAAGTGAGGTCCGATTTGTGCGTCGGAATTATACGTGATGCATTGTACAAATATCGCAAAAAGTTCCTGACATGGAGAAGATCGGATAGTAGGGGCTGTACGAGATGAGACGCATAAAAAGATTCGTCTTGGCTCAAAGTACAGAGAAGGATCCGATTTGGAAGAGCTCCGATAACCTGATGGCTGAAATACCGAAAATGAACGGGGAAACGTCGACAGAACCGATCTCCACACCGGAATCAACGACCAAGGAGCAACAATCGTCCACCACCGGATTAACGTAATGCAATTTTTATTGTATTAACATCGTTAACAATAGACAATTCACCTAAGCTATTTTCGACATGGATTTTTTTTTTTTTTTTTTTTTTTTTTCTTTAAAAATGGTCGTGAATTTTGCGTGTGTCGCGCGTGGCAAGTGTAATTTTCAACGTTGTTTTTATTAAACTTAAGGCACAGACTAGAGCTAAGTAATTAATAATAAACTACCATTAGGTACTTTTTAATTTTCGTGATTTTTTTTGATTTGAAAATGATCTTTCATTTCGTTTATGTAAATTACGCGCGTTACGTAATGAGTATCGTTTTCAACGTGTTCCCATTACATGAAAATATAGTAGGCTAGAGTCGAGTAATTTCAAACCCGACTCAAGGCTCAATTCGTGTCAAAAAGAATTGAGAGCTCTGCGTGATTTGAGAAGAGAACGAACAGAGTTTCTCGGTTCAATTAGAACGAGAATAATCCTTCTTCGATCTCTTTCTACAATCGAAACGAATCGAAATCTAATCGCACGGTGAATTAATCTTTCTTTCTCTTCGTCTGATCTGCCTCTCATTGTCAAATTCGGATCCCACCATCAGTTCCACCGATTGATCTACAAGTTTCCCAGAAATCTCGAATGAGAAAACACACCGACTCGTGCAGCATTTCAACGTTTCATTCGACAATTCGGCGGACTTCGTTCGCCACTGCAGAAATCGGCCCTTGCTCGATCGTCTCGATGAACGCCTCGAATGGAACGAACGAACTACGAATTACGAGAAAAGTAGAGGGTGTTCAGAAACACTTGCAGATGATACGCCGTACTTGATGTGGAACTGATTACAAGAAAAAAAAAGAAAGAATCACGCGACTCATGTGACCGCGTTCGACCGTGAAACCTGGAGTTCCAGCGCTCGTCGCGAGTCCATCCTGAAGAAGAGAAACGCGCGCATAAGAAAATCCGTATATACATACTTACATACATCTAAGCGAGATACATAGAAGGTTCAGAAAGCGTTACGGAGTTGTAGGAATGGCATTGCGTGAGCCGTTTAAATTAACGGTTCCGTATACTTTCTCTGCTGTCATTCACGTGTTCCCGCCTAATGGATGATAAAAATCACCTTGGAAATATGCCGCGGAAAATCTAGACTTTTCATCCGATTTCCCATCCGGTCGTACTTTCCTTCCCTCCCATATTTTTTTTTTTTTTTTTTTTTTTTTTTGTTTCCTGCTGTTTGTTCACGAAATTCGCGAACAATTATGCTAAGCGATGAGATTCTTTATCGTTTGATTTTTCATCCGGTCACGCTTCTATTTCCTTCGTTTTGTTCCCATTTTGCTGCCGCTATTTATTTAGAAAATTCGAACGATATTTATCGTTTGAACAAAACGAGATGCGAGAAATTCGTTCCACTACTCATTGAAATATCATTCATCGCCGATTTTTCGTTCCTCTTCTTCGTTTCTCTGGCTGTTTATTCGCGAAGTTCTTGATGATATTCATCCTCGAAGTTTGATCGAAGAAGTCGAGAAACTTACTCGTTACTCGTGAAAACATATCTTTTAACGTTTTACTGTCATACGTCTTCGCCGATTATTTTTTTTTCTCAGCGAAAAATAAGAACAAAATCCTCTATCTTCCCCTAATATTCTTTTCTATCCTTCGTTTCCTTCCTCTTTTCGTTTCTATAAATTTCTCAGAAATTCCTCCGGCCGCGTGTGTCTTTCGATTTCCCTTGATTCCTCGTCGATCCTTCGTCAATTCCACGGAAACTGAAGTGAAAAACTCAGCGACGCCGTGCCGTTGTAAAACGTGAATTGAAGCGTCGTTTGGATTTTGTCCAGTTTCTCAGATGTTCGGGAATCGAGGTGGTTAACGAGCCAAACACTGTCCAATGTTGGAAAGTAATACGTGTTTCGTTTTAATTTTGTAGGCCCAGCATGTCGCAGGGCACGGTGATGATTCAGACACAAAGCCGGTTACACGATAAGGACTTCACTATTGCCACACCTGAGGAATTTGTTCACCGTTTCGGCGGTACCAGGGTTATCAACAAGGTAACGTTGTTGCAACATTTCATCTTTCCTTTTCATCCCACTTTTTTCAATATATACTTAATATATATTTTTTATACTATATATATATATATATACATATACACTAAGATATATCATATATAATGTATACTATATCATATATAATATATACTATTATATATCATATATAATATATACTATTTAATACATATTTTTTATACTATAATATATAATATATACTATTTAATACATATTTTTCATATATAATATATACTATTTAATACATATTTTTCATATATAATATATACTATTTAATACATATTTTTTATACTATATATATATACACACTAAGATATATCATATATAATATATACTAGTTTTTTAATACATATTTTTTATATTATATATACACTAAGATATATCATATATAATATATACTATT